ATTTTAAAATGGGGTGACAGTCGCTGCGTCACGTAACGACGCAAGCGCTGTTTTTTTTCCGCGAGGCTCTAGCAATTAGCTCAATTATAGGAGCTAAACATGGGGTTGGGGAATCGCTCCCTTCTCACTCACTATTTGGCCGGCATAGTGTTTGCAATTATTGTTAAAATCTAACATTTTAAGATTTCAAATGATCCATTTTTCCCGCCCAAGTCTTTCAATTCAAGGTCATAACACCAGGTCACGTCAAGTGACCTTACCTCAAGGAAAGTTCCTGTGTTCATCATATCTAAATACATCGACTAACCGATCGCTTTAGAACCTTCAGCGATTTCAATGGGCAACAGTATATGTATTTGAAACGTTTACTTTGCAAGTTTGACATTGCTGACAGAAAGGTCGGGTCAATTTTGAGATCGCTAAAGTCAATGGGAGAAAGTTGAACTGCGCTTTTTTTGACGGAACGCATAATAAACACTCTATGCATAACTATGCATAACTATGCTCTGGTGTAGTAATTTGGTTGTGCGAGCCAGCGACAGTAATCTGCGGACTCCGGGAGCGTGACTGTTCCCGTGGGACGATTGCCCTGTCGGGCGGTCCAGCCGTCTCCCCAACGGTCACCCGAAGAGGGTTATGTGTCTTGGAATGGAACCGATATCAACTACAGGTTGGCTGGTGGGGTGACCTCCAGTCCAGAGAGGGAAGCATGAAGACTAGGGGCGATGCGGATTGGTTTTTCCTGAGGATAGCGAGGACGGAAGGAATCTAGCACCCTTGACCCTTCCTTATACTGAATGTATCTCAGGCTGTTAAATCTCCTAAGCGTTTTTTTTTTCTCGACATCGTCAAGGTGTCATTAATAAAAATATGAAATCCGGGAGGATAAATTAAATATAGAAATTGTGACCAACAGAACATTATCAGTTGCGTTCAACATACTCGTAAGCATGATCACACACCCAGCTTACACATGAGCCATGTAATAAATATTTTTGATAGACATGCTAAGTTATGAAATCATCTAAAGTGTTTGTAAAGTTTCACGATACGGATCTAATATCCTGCTATCCATCATGACCATTTCTGGTCAGGTCATGTCTTTGAGCATAGGCCAAATTCTTCAAATGACCTCCCTCGCCGGCAAAGGGAGGGAGGGTTGATGCAACCCCCCTCCCTAAGGTTTTTCGCGAATAACTCGCGTAAAAAGCGGCCGATCGCGACGAAACTTTCAGTACCCTCGCATTGATAAATTTTACATCTACCCTGAAAATTTCATGACCCTGACCCAAATGACCTTTGACCATCTGAATCACCTGAAGGTCAGGTCAGGTCATTGACCTTTGGTGACCTCGGTTCAGTTTTTCGAGTTTTACATGTTTCTACGCTAGTTTTTTTAGCTGAATTCGAATTTAGCAACCATTTGAACATTTACGAAGTAGTTTTGGTGCCTTCGTAACATGTTACGAAGCTGTCAGAGGCGGATGACAGGTATTGCGAATACCCGTCGTGACCCCTACCGGTTGACCTGACCTGACCTGACCCGACCTGGTCTAAATGCTTTAAGACATCATCCCTGATCAAAACTACACGATATTCGTGATCAGCACCCCGGAAACCCCCATAGCAGCCACACTTTACGACTTTCTAACAGGTCCCCATTTTCCCGATTTTCGGGTCATTGACCTGACCTGGAAGGTCATCCGATGACCTAGGACCTTAACATTGGGTATCATCGGCTTCCTCTCGTGACGGGCAACACGCTCGTTTTTTCCGCGAAGCTCTAGCCCAATCAGGGGCCAAGCGCGAGGGGGGTCGTGCATCCCCTTGTGCCGTCGAAGGATGCAAAATAGCCTGTGCCGGCGAGGGTTAAAGATCACTTTTGATTCATTCGAAGCGTTTTGATAAGAGGAACACGAGGCTGGTAAAATTAATTTCATGCAAGTTTAGCTTAAAACTTCTAGTACTTGTGGAAAAGCAATTGGTTTTCTCATAATACCGATGGTGGCAGTTGCTGTTATTTACGTGCTAAGCCGTTGACCTTAAATCTGACATAGTATTATTCAGACATAGCGGTAAACGAGTTGCTTCTTGTGTTAGGTTAGACTCTTTCGGTCGATTTCAGAGTGGGAAGGATGACAGGAATTAGGGGGAGACAGGGGGCCTGGGCGGGAGTCCTGAGCCTCATGCTCCGCTGGGGCCGAGCCCATCACGTGGGTTGGATTGCCCTGACACATGGATAGCCCTGGGCGGTGTTTCACGGCCCCGCGCTGCAGCACGCTGCGCTGCGCTGCCATGCATTGTAGCGGCGGTTGATATGAATTCGGCTCCACACTAGCGTTACGAGCTTCCGAGTCTGTTGATGTTTCCATGGAAATTGGAAACCCAATGCACCGGTGCGCACAACGCACCCTGTCCAAGCAAAATTTTACCATCGATGACCTCTGGTGACATGACCTTTTGCTCCGAACCGATCTAAAATTGGCTGAAGTATTTTTTTCTTCTTTTTGCTACTTTCGACGCTACTTCGAATACCACTTAAATGCCCCAATTAGAAGAGTCAGACATTTTGTTTTTCTCACAGACAATGACAATACAAAAATAATGTAATATGACCAGACGTTTCGACAACAAAGTGCCTTCGTCAGTGGAAAACAAGATATAGGCTTTTCATCGATAAAAAATTTGGTTTTTTTATATATTTTTTATCTTCTATAGTTTTTATCGATGTAAGGCCTATATCTTGTTTTCCACTGATGAAGGCATTTGTTGTCGAAACGTCTGGTCTTATTACATTGTTTTTGTATTGTCATTGTCTGTGAGAAAAACTAAATGCCCAAAGCTGAGTTATAAGAATGATGCTCAATCCCCATTTCCCCTCCAACAGGGCGTGAGAGTCTAGGCATTTCTGTGGGGCACGGGCTAACAATGACTATCTCATAATCATTGTGGCCATGAACATCTACTGTCATTCTTTAACACCGGTTTCGCTGCGCTGAGCGGTGGCCGTCTCGTTTGTTGGATTCTACAGCTGGCTGGCGGAAAGCGTTACCGGCCGCCCGTCCACCGCCCGCGGGCCGGACCGAGCGGTCCCGCTGACCCTACCTGACCTGAGCCCGGCGCGATATGGGACGGGCAGACGGGGGTTCGGCTCAGCGAAGGCAGCGCCCACTGGTGCTGGGGACTTTTTTAATAGACCTACTGTACAGCTAACAGCTGGTGGGCGCTTTTTATATCCTTGACGACGGGCGTGTTTATGTGTTTTTTCCAGTGTGTTTTTTTCTGCCTTCATTGTCGGCTTCTATCGATACCTTTATTGTTTTTGTCTGATGTGCTACATCAGCGGCAAAGAGCAATGCAAAGCACACGCTATAGGGCCGTTTTTCTGTTGATTTGTGATAATGAGTTTTTTTTTCTTATGGGCTCAATTATTTCAGAAGTCAATGATACGAATAATGCCGATAGTGCGTATATGTCTTAAATGGTCTTTTGTGACGTACCATGTTGTTTCAGTTTGTGTCTGCGTATGCTCAAAGTGGTGTTTGTAATTTGTTTCATATCCTAGAGCACTTGAGGAGCCACCAATGTGCCGGTTAGGGAAACCCTTGTCCGTCCATTGACCACGGTCTGTATTTGCCTTGTTTCAGAATCCTGAGCAGCCTCAAGGATCAGCGGGCGGGCAGCCATCTCTCCCGTCTCCTGCTGAGGATAGACTTCAACCAGTTCGTCAGTCGCGGCATCTAGTGTCACTGGATGTGACCTCTCTGGATCCTACGTCACGTTTTGGTGTTGTCAGTGGTTCGTGATAATGTGATAAGCAGTGGCCGAAAATGGCGTGCAGTTGCGTATCGCCAGAAGCGCTTCCTTGGCGGAGAGCTCAGAGCAGTGGCGCTTGTTGTCCGTACCACGGCTGGTGTGAGATGTTTCGCTCTTTTCTGTGAAGCCGGTACGTGAACCCTTGCTACAGTGTTTTAAGTAGTGCTGATAGCATGAGGTCATCCTCTAACTTCGCTAAGCTACTGAGGGACCTAAGATGTAGTAATGCTGCTGCTCATAATGCATTCCGTGATTGATTTGTCATGACATGTATGTGTACTCGCATTGGTTGTGCTAATAATGTAACATTTGTTTCTGTTATCGGGGATTGTTTTTGCAAATAGTCTAATCTTTCGTATTTTTACCTGATCGTGCCGGAAAGACATGGAAGGATTAGTCGGTCAAACCGCAGAATGAATGATATCTAATCAAAGTAGTTGGCGAAGATTGTCCGCTCGGTAAACCGAGTGTTTTAACTGAAGACAAGGATATGTATACCTAGCTGATAATCCCCTCGCTCTCGCTCCTGGGACTGCCGGAGTGGTTTTCGGTGACCTAAATTTGCCAAAGGACTAAAGGAGGTATATGAGGCTCTTGGCAAAACATATGGCTTTTTAGGGAACGTTTTATAATGGACGGAACATCGCATTTCGTTCGGGCGTTGCAGGCCAGGCGCTTGACTTATCGCCAACGATATGCCAATGATTTGCTGATGGCACAGCATTGGTTTTGCCGCGAAACAGAGGTTATCGATGATCCAAAACTGAAAGCTTGGGCCTTGGGGTGGGGTTGCAAAGGCGGTGCTCGCTGCAGAGCTTGGCTTCACCCGTGAGTTCCCATTTCCGTCAATCTAGTGAGAAGGTTTGTGAATATCAACCTACTGCTAGATTGGGTGGATTCAAACAAGAATCCTTTACTACTCAAAGAGGATTGAAAGAGGATTCAAAGGGATTCAAAGAGGATTGGCGGACATCGAGATCCCTTCATTAGCTTCAAATTTGGCAGGCGGATAAATCATATATGGAAGCCTACAATTGCTATAATTTTGGCGCATATGTTTCAAACAAACTTATTTTTCTAATGTTCTTAAAAGGAAGTTTTGCTGCTCACGGTCTTAAAACTCACTTGCTAGGTATTAATCACTGACCGCATTTTCTGCTCCTACAAATATTTGCCTACGAAATGAACACAAGTTTCTTGCAACCCCACATTTTATCTTGTCTGTAAATAGTAGCATTTCTAAGGATATTTCCATTTATGTAGGGCTAAATGCGAACAGATTTTATCAATTGCATGTGAATCCTACATACCAAATGATCATTGATCATGTCTTCAAAGCTAAAACAAGAAAAACAAGAGAGCCTGTTGAAGACTATAGATGTGCAGAAGGAACAGCTGTCCCGTTATGAATCCAGACTGAAAGGTACTTCAATTTTTGTTGCTTTAATTATTTTTGTTCCACAAGTTCCTTTCTGATGGACGTTGAAGCCAATTGATGCATTTTATTTTATTTCATTACAATTAATTGACTACATAGTTACTATTAAAGGGAAATGGGAATAAGGAATAGTTCACTTTCCTGAAATTATTGTTTGCAATTGATTTATGATTTTGTATGCTCAATATAATCAGAAATGAAATGATTCCTTGTTTTATAAAGGATTATTTTCTATTTTTAATATCAGACAAAATGAATTTTAAAAAATCATGTTTGATGCGGAAGCTTATTGCGCATTGGCCAATCATATTGTGTAGGTAGTTCAAACCTATGCACGCTGCATTGGCGCATGCTGATTGACTGACGATGACGTACTGTATTCCTCATATTTTTGCTTGACACCTACCATATGCATAAGACGTGATGGAAAGTGGATATTTTTTTCATTTACGTATGTCAAAGCTTGTTTGTTGGACAGTTTCTTGGATTAGTATCCAGACATTGCATAGATAATTTCATTACATATATAGGCTATATTCCTTGTTCTGTGGCCCAAAGGCATGCTGTTCTCTTTTCTGTGTTATAGTTATTTATTGCATTATTATTTTTTTAGATCTTGTTCGGGCATACAAAAGCCTCAATAAAGAGAAGGAGGCCCTGGAAGCTAGTTTGAAAGCATTATCTACAAGCAAATCAGGACAGTCATCAAAGTCATCAAAGAAGTCAACAGACACCAAAGATGGAGCTGAAAAGGAAAAGGTGAGTGAAAGATGATGGTGGAGTATAGACTGATCAGCTCAGTGATAACCTTATTGAAAAAAAGACAATGGATATTCTCTCAAATTGATAACCCTAACAATTGCAGACCTAGTTGCATTAAATTGTCTTTACATTGTAACAACTACAAGTTAACATGACTTTTCTCACACTTTCCATGCAGGAGAAAACCAGTGAAGATGCTCAGTCTCAGCTGGCCACAATTACTGCTTCCATGCAAACTCTCCTGGAAGAAAAATCCAAAATGGAGAACAACTACATGGCAGATCGAAAGGCCATGAAGGCTGATCTCGATAAGGTAAAACCTGAAAACCTACATCTTCTTTCTCATTTGCTATTCAGTTACAAGCCAAAAGTATGCGATACAAGCTCAGCAGTCAGCTGTGAGTGAAGTTCTTGTACAAAGTTAATCAGCAGGCTGCAGATAGTTCCTGAAAAGGATCACTCTGGGCATGCCATTTGGCTTGGTATAGTGTTTTCATTTGTGCTCTATAGGCAGTATATCCCCTTTATCACCAATATCCCCTTTATCACCACCCCGCAGGGGGCTGACCGTGGTCAGAGCTGCTGCTTAGCCGGGGTCATCTGGCTCCGGCTGTGCGGCGGCTGTGACTTCGGCCAGTAAGGGGAGTAGCGCCCCCTCGGCCCCAGCTTGACGCGCGTTTTGACCTGGACTTGCCTTGCTTACTGGATGGATTGTCTGCAGGATTGGCCCCGCAGGGGGTTGGCAGTGGCCGGGGTCGCTGTCGGACTGGGTTCCTTGGGCCTTTGCCCCGCGGCGGCCTTGGCCTCGGCCAGCAAGGGGAGTAGCGCCCCCTCGGCCCCAGCTTGACCCATGCTTGCTTGCGACTTGCTTTGATCGCTGGTTGGACAGATGGTACGGCCCGACTTTTCTTGGTTTTCGTGGTTTTGTTTCTCTTGAGCGGTCTCTGTTTGCTTTTGCTTTGCTTTTCACCGGATGTCCGCGTTTCTTTCGATCACAGCTTTCTGATTCTTTTCCTACCTTTTTCGTTGTTTTTGCACCCGCAGGAACACAGCCGAGTTGGGCTAGTGTAAGGGGAGTGGCGTCCCCTCGGGTACCAGCCGGTTTTACTAGGCTAGGCGAGCCGACCCGTACCCCAGGACAACGGGATCCTGGAGGTTGAGCCCCCCACCGTGCGGAGCCAGTCGCGGTGGCTGGGCAACACGCCTCTTTGGCCCTGAGTTCTGTAAGGGCGGGACACTCAGTGGGGCGCCGCACTTGAGGAGCCATTCCCAGTCGTGACGCCGCCGGGGGTGGTGTCTGAGAGGTGTCGCCGGCGGGGTTCGGGCACTTGTGCTCGTCCTCCGTCGGTGGGACTGATCTGTCGCTGCCCCTGGCGGTGACTCGGCTAGGCGTCAAGGGAGGAGGCGGTATCCGACCGTGGGGGGTGGTGAGTCTCTCTCTCCCCCGCGGAAGGTGCCGCCAAGTCCCGTACAGTCAGCTCGGCCGTCCCAGGCCTTGTAGCGGCGCCGTTGCGGAGCGTCGGCGGCCGAGCTGGCGGAGACCAAGCACACTCCATGGATAACTCGACCAACCCCCCTTCCCCCACTCTTACCAATCCTTCGGCCTCGGCCGATCCTCGCCCGTTGGCCTCGGCCGACAGGCGAACGGTGCTTGAAAAAGGTCCACGATCTCCTAAGATCCTCATCTTCCGGAGCGCAGACAGGGAGCTGAGCTCTCTGTCGCCCTTCCAGCGGAAGGATGGCTGCGACCGGTTTGGTTCGATAGTTCGTTGTGACCGGATGCGTGATGGCGCGCTGGAGGTCGAGTTCAGGAAAAGCGAGGAGGCGGCGAAAGCATTGGACGCTACTCGCTTCGTGTTCTCCGAGGGACGGGCATCCGGCCGGAGGCTCGTTTCCATCCCGCTTACAGTGGAGCCCCACCGTTCTAAGAACTCCTCACGAGGGGTCATTAACTGTTTCGATTTGAGGGGAGTGAGCGACGAGGATATTGCGGACGGGCTCGCCGATTTCGGCGTGACAGCGGCTCGCCGCATCATGACGAAGAGAGGCACGGTCTCGACCAACAACATCATTCTGACATTTGACTCTACCGACTTGCCGAGTGAGATTCGCGTGGGCTACGTGAAGGTTCGCGTGCGGCCTTTCGTCCCAGCGCCCATGCGCTGCTTCCGCTGCCAACGTTTCGGCCACACAAAGGACAACTGCCGAGGAAGACCCACGTGCTCCAAGTGTGCTTCGCAGGACCACACTGACGAAACCTGTGACTCGGAGACCCCCCGATGCGTCAACTGCGGAGAGGGGCAGACGCCGCACTCCGCGTATGATAGGTCTTGCCCTGCATACGTCAAGGAGAAAGAGATCATGACCATCAAGGCTACCAGAAATCTGTCTTTCAAAGAGGCCCGGGAGGTGTACAACCAGAGTCACCCGAAGACCTCGTATGCCCAGAAGGTGAGAGTCACAAACTCTACCGATGCCTCCCAGATGAGCGTAGCACAGCTCGTGCAGCTTCTCAAACGATTCGGCCTCACCGTCGTAGCCACTGGTGACTCAGCGGACAACACGGCGCCTCGTGCGCCGCCGAGCAACACAGAGCAGGCTGCTCAAGAGTCAGTGTGGGGTCCACCCAGTCCCGCTCCAGCCGCGAACGGTAATGGAGACGATTGGACCGTCGTCCAGCGCCGACAGGGTGGTCGGCGCCCCCCGGCGCAGGGTAAGGCGCCACCCACCCCGCCCCGCCCCCGACCGTCTACGGCGGTGCAGGAGGCTCTGCGGCGGGGGGAGGAGGAGAGAAGGGCACGTGAGGCGAGGAGGGCTCGCCTCGTCCAGAAGGCCCTCGAGGCTAAGGAAGCCTCGTCTGCCGACTCCGCCTCCGGGAGTGCCAATGCGGCTGTCGCCGCTGACACCCCGGAGACACCTGAGGCGGGGACTCGGCCCATCATGGGTCCCCCGCCGCCTCCTCCACCTCCGCAGCGGCGGCCACCACCGCCGCTGCCAGAGACGCCTGTGTCGAGGACACAGGCCGCCGCCTCGACATCCCCGTCGGGGCGGCAACAGCCCTCCGCGGCTCCAGGGCGCCTCGCCAAGCGGCAGACGCCCCCGAGTTGGTCACCTTCGGAGGGCGACGCCCCCCGGTCGAAAAGGCCCCAGCCGGGCCCGAGCCATGCCCGATCTGCCTCTGCTGAAGGGAGGCTTCACCGAGAGGGCTCAGGGCACCCCCGTATCCGCTACGGGGGGAGCGCCTCCTCGGAGTTAGAGGACCTAGTCTAGTCTTTCAGTCTAGTCATTTCCTCTTTTATCCTTTTATCTTTTTCGCGCTATTGCGCTTTTTTACCAGGTGCATTTCTCTCGGTGCTTTTTACCTTTTTTGTGGTCAGTCAGGTATCTGTGTGCGCCTTTGCCTCATGTTATACGCGCCCTTTTTGCGCCTTTTTAACCACGCCTTTTATTCTACAGTGGAACTGTAGAGGCCTCCGGGCCAACTACCAGGACCTACAGTCTCTTATCCGTTGGCGCACACCCCTTGTTTTAGGTCTCCAGGAGACCAAGCTAGCGCCAAACGTTACCTTTGCCATCAAGGGCTACTCTGTTTTTAGAAGAGACCTGGACACCCCTACCATTGCCCATGGAGGTGTGCTTCTGGCGGTTCACCACAGCGTACCTGCTCGCCAGGTGCCGCTGCAGACTCCCCTGCAGGCGGTGGCCGCCAGAGTTGATTTCAACCACCGGGAACTGACAGTGTGCTCTTTATACCTACCACCAGGTATAGCGCTCCCGGTGGTTGAGCTGCATCGGCTTGTCGATGAGCTTCCACCTCCGGTCCTGGTAGTCGGCGATTTTAATGCCCATAGCCTGGCGTGGGGATGCGACACGACTGGCACTCGTGGTCGACTTTAAGAATCTTTTATCCGCGATGAGGCGCTGTGTATTTTAAATACAGGACAGCGCACCCATTTTACAACACCCTCCGGTCAAACATCGGCTCTGGACCTGAGCTTAGTCAGTCCGCGGCTAGCTCAGCTTCTTACCTGGTCCGTCCATGACGACCCACTCGGGAGCGACCACTTCCCAGTGTGGCTGGAGCACCAGGAGTCCCCAGTGTCAGGCAACCGTCCACCTAGGTGGAATGTTCGGAAGGCCGACTGGGGCGAATTCCAGGCCGCCGTAGAGGCCACGGTTTTATCCAGAGCCGACGCCTCTGTGATGTCTACAGATGATTTTACATGTTTACTCATTGACTCCGCAAACGGGTGCATACCCAAGACGTCGAGTCAGCCTCGTCGTCCTCCGGTCCCGTGGTGGACCAAGGAATGCGGAGATGCGATTCGTGCCAGGAAGCGCGCTTTTAGAAAGTTTGACCGGAGTAGTACTACTGAGAACCTCATCGCTTTTAAGAAAGCGCGGGCTTTTGCCCGTCGCGTTTTAAAAGAGGCAAAGGCTGTTTCATGGCGCACGTACGTGAGTTCCTTAAACCGTTTTACTCCTACGACCCAGATATGGGCACGCATGAAGCGCATTGAAGGCCGGTTCAGCTCTGTTCCGCTTCCGGTTTTAAGAGTGAACAACACGGACATATCCCACCCTTTACACGTCGCAGAGACGATAGGCCGTGCACTCTATCAGCGCTGCCGAGGAGAGCCGTCCTCACGACCTGCACCAGCCGCCGTGGACTTCAGCACAGCTGAAAATTCGATGTACAATGAGCCTTTCTCTATGGCTGAGCTCACGTCTGCCATCAGCTCGTTGCGCAGCGTCTCAGAAGGTCCGGATGCTGTCCACAACGACATGCTCCGTCATCTCCCAGCAGTTGCCCTCGAGGCGCTGCTAGCAACTTTCAATTCGCTTTGGGAGACTGGCACTTTCCCTGAGACCTGGCGGGAAGCCACTATCATTCCTATTTTGAAGGCTGGCAAGTCGGGACATGACCCTCTCCACTATCGGCCCATCTCTCTCACATCATCGCTTTCAAAGCTGATGGAGAAGATGGTCAATGTGCGTCTTAGCTGGTTTTTGGAACATCACGGTGTTTTTACAAACGCCCAGTGCGGTTTTAGAAAGCACCGCAGCCCTGTTGACCACATTTTAGCCCTCGACACCGAGATACGCACCTGTTTTACTGAAAAGAAGCACCTTGGAGCACTGTTCTTTGATATTGAGGCGGCCTATGATACAGTGTTACGACACAGAATACTTTCCAAAGTACACAAGTACGGCATACGCGGCCGGATGGGCCTCTTTATTAAGAACTTTTTATCGGGTCGTCGGTTCAAAGTCCGAGTTGGCAGTAGTCTTTCGAGCAGTTTTACTCAAGAG